ATTATATGATTTAGACTCAAGGGAAAAAGAAAAGAGCTGAATTTTTTGTAAGAATATTGAGGGGGATTTGCAAAAGTTCCAAACTTTATTTGATAAAATTTCTTTATACGTGGACTCCAAAGTATCCCCTCGAATATTGAGTCTAGATTCTTGACATTCAGCCACATCAATTCAATAGTGACTAAACCACCAAGTTATAATTTTAATATATGGTTGGAAATTTCAACGTTGTTTTGATGAAACACTCCAATTTGTGTCAACTTTTTTCATTTGTGGTCTACAATTGAGAAGAAGTTAGATAAAGAGATGGACTTTGCTTCCAATGTTGCTTTCTTTTATCTTCATTTATCTTCTCTTTGTTTTTGGTGGGCAAGTGCTTTCTGCAATATAGTTCAACATTTCTAAACGAAATTATTGCCAAATGTTTGTACCAAAATAGTCCTAATGTATCCCGACAAACCCTACGATCTTTAGAAAACAGAAAATAATAATTTTTGGTTATATATATGTTTATGAATAGACTTAAGCCTTAGATCTTATAAGAACAACCACAGACTTAACTGCTTAACTAACCTCTTATCGATTCCTAATTATTACGGATATAGAAGGATCCGCAAGATCCTCCTCAAATTATGTTGTATCTTTTACCAAAACGCAATCCCATGATTGTAGGCAATCCCTTGATTATAGACGATAGCTATAGATGGAAATGTTGACTTTGTACGTAAATCATCTTGCTGTAATATTGCTCTGTATATTCTATAAATGAGATGTGCACCACCAGACAACTTCACGGTGGTTTTTCAAACCTTGTCATGGTATCGAAGCCGAAGGTCTTAAGTTCGAATCCCCAGATAAAAATTGGATAAAGAAAAATGAAAAAAATCCAATTTGATGTGAGAGGGTCTATTGGTCTAATATATGGTGAGTCTTCACCTACTAACTTAAGCTTTTAGGTGGGGTGACAACTTATCATGGTATCAGTAGTCCCCTAAGGATTCACCTCCGTCGATCCAAATGGGCTCCGAAACTTAGTAGTCTTTTTTTTTTTTAAAACACTCATTTATGCTGAAACCACAGCCAAAACACACACAATAATAAAAAACAAAAAAGTAAAGAAGACACATGATTTATCCTGGTTTGTTTCAATAAAGGGAACTATGTCCAATATATTCAAATAGATAATTTTTATTGAGTATCAAAAAGTTGCAGCAAATACAAAGGAAATGACAACAGTTCACTCTTACTCTCTATTTTTTCACACACGAAGTTTTTTTCACTATTACAAAATGCTTATAATAGAAAACCTATCCCCATTTGAACTTACCCGATCTAACTCGACCCAGACTCAAATATTTGTAAAGACTAAGAAAAGTATAAGCCATATCCAACAATTTATAGTATTGTGAATCTAAACATTATTATGACCTAATAATAATTTATTGAATATAAACTCAAACTTAATACCAACACAAACATGATTGCAACATATGTGGCTATCAAGAACCTTCCAAAACCTCAATTTCTTGGAGGTTGATTCAAGGGACAATAAGTCTTTACATAATTAATGATAAATAATACGGCATCAACAACTCTCTTTCATAAACTTTCTCTTACAACCTTGACGTAGCAGTTCGCAATTGGTTAGTTCATAACGGGTCTTACATGGGTCCCACTAATTAAGTACGAGCTGTCACGTCAGGTTTGTGAAAAAAAATTGTTAGTGTAGTATTACTCAATCAATGATATATGATTCTTATTTCTCATCAGCCTGCCCTCAACCTCAAGAAGCTCCTCTATATCTCCTACAATGTTAAACTACAAACCATTTCGAACTTCTTGTTTATGTGAAGTTTCCATAAATTTAATTGCGTGGTCCAATCGCGCATCTACATTTCATGCATTATTTTGGTTCTTTTTTTGGTCAAGTCTCCATCTCGATCAGAATTGGGAAGACTATTTTGTAGCTCTTGATATCAACTATTCAAGCTAGCAAGTTGTCAAATAATAGCTTCAGATTCTGAAAATCTAAACCATATAATTTTTAGGTTGTTGGTTGGTTCTTGATTTTAACTACTCAAAGCTTGTTGTTGGTTCTGATTGTTGAAAATTTTGAACTAATATCACTTTCGTTCATTTAATTTTCCTTTGAAAAACTTCTTCTACTTCAATTGTAACTAGATTTGCTTTTGTGTTTCACGTAAGCGTAATTCATCCAAAACGAGTATGTACTACATTGAGGGAATTCGTGCTCATTTGCTTCGCTAAGGATATCAGTTGCATTGAATTTGATTAAAGTTTTTATAAATTGATTAGTATTAGGCGAAGTGAGAATTTGTAAAGTTCATTGGTTTAGGCCCTAGTTAGTAAATTCGCGTTTTATACGCGAATTATACAACTAGCCGTATAAAACGCGAATTCACGTATTTTATTAGGGCTGCCGTATAATTCGCGAATTATATACCCTATCCGTATAATTCGCGAATTATACATGAATTTTTGCCAAATTTTTGCAGACAAAAAAATAATTAAATGATAAGGCAAAACGACGTCGTTTTGGTTGGGTTTGACTAAAATTAAAGAAAATCTCCTTCATCTTCCTCGGTTCTCTCTTCCACAGTCTTCATCTCTTCTTCAAATCTTCAACAATTCAACTCTTTTTTCTTCATCTATTGACTCTTTGAGTCTTGATCTCTTCTTCTCTTCTCTTTTTAACTCTCTTCTCCAAGCTTTAAGTCCAAGACTTCAGCTCTTCAAGCCTCAAGCTACACACTTCTTCTCTTCTCTTTTTAACTCTCTTTGAATCTTGTATGTTGGTGATTTTATTGTGTTTGTGCTGGTGTGTGAGTAGTAGTAATAGGGGCTGGTGGATTGATGGATTTGTTATATTGGTGGATTGATAGATTTGTTTGAAACATGTTGATGAAATGCTTGTGAGAGTTATATTTGATATGTTTTAACATAATATTTCATTTAGTTCTGTTGTTTTGTGTTGTATGTGTCAAAATGAAAAAACTAAAGATCATCTATGAAAGCAAAAGGTAAAGTAAAACTGCAAAAGAAAAGCAAGAATTCATAAAAATAATATTGTCGGGCTTGGATTTGGAATTGGCAGTACTTAAAGAAGAAGAAAAAAACAACAAACCATCAGCTTGAAAACACGCCAACTGCAAATTGTAAACCATGTGCACTTGTCATGTTTTTAGATTTCATAACACTATTATTATTTGACCTTTGAATGCACTGTCCAATTAAATTCAGAACATAAAATTAGAAAATAAAACACTATACTAATTGGAATCCAAATTTTGTATGCATAGCTATAAAATTACGGATAAAAATACTAGTCTTAGTTATTGTTCAAATAACTTTAAATAAAAAGAAAAATAATTGTAGGGTCGACCACAATAGTTATTTAAATCAGGAGTGTTTTGAAAAGTGCTAAAACCAGATTGCTATTGCCGTATTTTCAAAAGTATTATTGACAATGTGTCGTATAAACCCGTATATATCCGAATTGTATTTTTTCCGTATCCGAATTTTATGACCGAATTTTTACAAACGTATTTTTCACCATTTGCTGTATCATACCCGTAAAATTCTCGTACCATTTTGCCGTACCGTAATACAACTAGGGTTTAGGCACAGGAATGTCCCTACAATCAACCACCCTGGGGTAGTCATTTGAGGAGATACGGACTTTTGAAGTATTACTAAAGAGATTCCGGTTAATTTCTTGGTTGCTAATAGGAGTGGCCACTGGAGGGCATCTGGTTGTTAACTTCGGCTTAGGGGATTAGCCGAGGTGCATGTATGCTGGCCGACACCCTCGATCGCCAAAAAAAAAAAAATTCCTGCAACAATGTGTTGATAGAGTGTATGAATTGGATTCAAAGATACTGCTAAATGGACCTGCGGATGCAGTACAGGACAAGAAGAGGCATGATGAGGGCTCTCAGTTTGGGCCAAGTTGGGTTGTGCAAGAGCCCTCTCGACGTTTATGGCCTAAAAGTTTACCCATGAATAGAATTGGGCCCTTCTAACGTTTTGTGTTCACAAATTGGACAAGACCATTAAAACTCTTTTCTTATGACTGGCGCTTCTCATTGCAAAATATGGTTATCACAATTAACTAATTAAAATTCATATAAAATTATAATAAGTGATAAATTTTGGTGGTACTAGTAGGTTTCGATAATGCCTTACTAAACTACTTCTAGGTAGCCAAGTGGTTCGACAGGGACTCTTGAGTGTGTACTCAAGAGGTTCTGAGTTTGAGTTGCTCTTTAGTTGCTAATATGGATAGTCGCTGGAGCTCTTACCCAATCAGTAGTATTAGTAGGTTTCGATAATGCCTTACTAAACTACTTCTAGGTGGTTGAGTGGTTCGATAAGAACTCTTGGGTATATTATTCAAAAGGTCATGAATTCAAGTCTCTCCTTGATTGCTAATAAGAGAATCATTAAAGCTCTTACCCGACCAGTAGTTTCAAGGTCTCAAAAGATTAGTTGAGGCATGCATAGCTGGCCCGGATACCTCCAGTCAAAAAAAAAAAAAAAAAAAAGGAAAGAGGGGGGAGTGCGCTTACTAAAAATTAAAAAGACCCTCTTTGCGAATTAACACAAATGTATAAAAACTCCATTTTTTAACAACAGTTCATGCCTGAGGTGAAATGGACCCAGTTACCACCTTTGAGTATGCAGTCAAAATGCTCCAAATATTACCTAAAATGCCAGTTTGAAACTAGGATTTGGTTAGTTTTAATTTATGTCATAAGAAAAGTAAGAGATAGATGGCAGAGAGTTCTTTTTCCTGAATTTTTTTAATAAATTTCAATAATCAATTCCAAATATTAACTGTAACATTTATTCTGATACATATACCCTAAATCACAGAAAATCTATGGCACCTCTTCTCATTTCTTTCACCTTGTCACAACATTAATCACCTGTTCAAATTAGTACCAAAAAGGGATCTTCTTTCCATGCCAATTTTCCTCTTCCATACATTGATCCCTCCATCCTTGGTAAAAGAAACAACAATGAACTACTCTCAACATACAATCAATCTTCAGCTTCTTCCCTCTCTCTAGGGACAGCTCCAAAATGTTTCACTAAAATGTCGACGACTACTGGCACCAAATTCTTACAAGGCACACCCTTCTTGTAAAGTTCTCCCAAATGCGAGTCGCTCCCGATTCTCCCTCCCAAGAACACATCAACTCCTTCAACAGGCTTCCCATTCTCGTCCCTTGCCATGCACCCCAAGAAACCAATATCAGCAACTTGAACTTGCCCACATGTGTTAGGACAACCAGTCCAATGCATCCTCACCGGCTGTGTAACCGCTACGAGCCTCTGCACCTCCTCAGTCACCTTTAAGGCCCTTGCTTTTGTCTCGATAATTGCTTGCCCACAAAACTGATTTCCTGTGCAGGCAACTAAGCCTTTCATGAGAATAGGTGGCTCCGGTGAAAACTTGTTTAGTAAAGGCTCTTTAAGCAAGGCTTCGAGTTTTGAATTCTCAATGTGGGGAATTATGATGTTCTGCTCTACTGTGAGACGGAGTTCGCCTGATCCATATGTGTCTGCTAAACGAGCTAGCTCATCCATGTCATCTGCCTGGACTCGACCAACTGGAATGTGAAGACCTACATAGCTAAATCCTTCCTGTTTTTGTGGATGTACACCAAGATAATCCCTCCTCTCCCATTGCTTCTGTATCAGGTCTTCCGATGACGCTCTCTCCAGCTTTTGTTCAGGCATTCTCTTCTTGACCTCCGCCCTGAATCCTTCAACACCCTGTATTTGTTCAAAATTAACAAGTCAACCATAAAATTCATGAAAAACAAACAACATATCCATGTTTCTCTCTTTGGTCAGTAGAAGAATAATAAGTTCAATTGGGAAGCATGATCAAATTCACAATGCCTACAATATGAAGCACTCACAAGTTCATCAATTAACCACATCATTCTTGTTTTCTGCCTATTTCCTCTATAACCAAGATCTCTGTAAGCCTCTAATACAGCTTTGCACAGAGGTATCACATCATCAGCCGAGACCCAGGCATCAAGAGGTATTGCCTCTGCACATCGCTTGGGACTAAAGAACCCACCCACAAGCAGGTTGAATCCAAACCGTCCATTCTTTGTAGCAGGCATGTAAGCAAGATCATTGATGTGAGGATGTTCAAAAAGATCATGGGTACCCACTACACACACATTCCACTTCCTTGGCCTGCTCAAATGAAAGAAAATATAAGTCAAAACTCAAGATCGAAATCAAATTCGTGCTCATTATTATCGCAGATTTAAAACAAATCCAAGTTCAAAGATCTAGCAATGCTACAACCTGGGTAATAACCAGGTCTCTTCCTAAAGGAAAACAAGTTCCACATCCAAGTTTCTATTTTTAAAACTCCAAAACAGAATTGTGCTTTAAGGTATATGTTGTGATTGAAAAAGAACTTACAAGTTAGTGATAGTAGGATTGCCCTGTGCATTGGCAGTGATGAAATGGGAGAGCAAGTTGGTATAAGGCCGAGTATCAATAATTTCGTCAGGGTCGATACCTGCAATAGGATTACCAACAGGATTTCTCACATTGTCCATACCACTCTGTAGACTTGTCAAGCCCACTTCAGCAAGACCCTTAAGAATGTCCGGTACATCAGGCAAAACCACACCGCGAATTTGCCAGTTTTGCCTGGTAGTCACATCTGCACAACCATCCTTCCCATATTTTCTTATCACACTGGCCAAGTATCTTGTTTGTGCACTTGTTGTTACCCCATTTGGCAGCTTCAATCTCATCATAAATCTACCATCTGACCATCACCATTACAAGAAGACACATTATTTGATTATATCAAAGGAACTAATCAACAGAAACACAAACAGTACTCAAACAAGAAATTGTCAAAACCTAACTTTGCATTGCCACAAAATTGAAGTGAATTCAACCAATCTCGACAACCCAGAACATTAACTCATTTATTTCTCAAAATCACCAGAAAAATAAAGAAAAAATATTCATTTACAATGGTTACTAAACTCAAGATCACAGAAAATCTTACTTCACCTAAGTAGTTGACCTCCCATTTTTAAATGATCTATAATCAAACTGAGGCTAAATGAACTACAGGCAATAAATTGATTGAAATTCGAGTGACAAATCTCAATTAAAATTGATGTTCAAAAGAATAACAAATCAAAATTAGCAAAAATAAAAGAGCAAATATATGTCATAGAACTTACACTGATGCTTTCTCCTGTGAAACAAACCAAGCCACTTGAGCCTAACATCAATATCATCCTTAGTAATCTTAGCTTTATCAATCTCCTCCATTGACATCTTAGCAAGTTCTTCAATTTCATTCTCCATAAAAAGCTTCATCGGATCTTTCTCAATCTTAACCTTCTCTTGAGGATTAATCCCTCCTCTAAACTTCTCCTTCAACACAAAGTAACCATCCTTCTCCTCCACTCTCGGTTCCAACCTGGCAGCATCCACCTCAGCACCCGCCACTGGGGCGACTGCTGGCGTGGCAAGCACCCATGTCTTTGGTCGAGAAGAAGAAGAAGATGAAGATGGCAAGAGCCGAACGGAAGGGAAACGTACCGATGAAAGAGAAGCTGATGACATGATAATAGAGAGTTGCAGCATACAGAAAAAGAATGAAAATGTTGATGTTGATGATGGTGAAGAATGAAACGAAGAGAGAAAGGAGTGTGGCCATTTTTGTAAGGGACGAAAGGGGACCTTTAGAAGGAGAGGAGAGGTGAGAATTGAAGTCTTTTGGGAGGTGTCAAGGGTCAGCTTCTCGTTTCTTTGAATTATATTAGAGGGTTAGAAAGTGACACTTGACAGTTGGGTTTGTATTTACTGTAATATATTATTATGCTTTTGTCGCTGCTTTCTTTCCAAATTTGGGGTTATCTTGTGTCAGAGCCGACATCATGTGCCATGTGAATCCGTCTTCAAAAGCTTCAGAACTGTGATGAGATTGACTTTGTTCTGTGTTTTGTGATCTGTAATAGGAAGGTTAAAAGGATCAATATACAGTTATATTCAGTTATTTTGCCTCTTTTATGGAGTAGGATCAACCAAACTTTACACATAATATCCTCTACCCACCTTATTTAGCAGGGTTCCAAGAATCATGATGTAGTTTAAGTAAATATTCTTGATTTGTTTCAGGTTCAAGATGAAGAAATATGAGATTAATATGAGAAAAGAAATAAAGAAGCATTAAATGAAATAAGTAGAAGGAAAAACCAGGGGCCAACAATAAGTGAAAAAGAGTAATATTACGTCAGCAAACATTTCGCACCAACTTTTTCTCCTAACTTGACGTGACAGTTCATAATTGATTAGTTTACAATTAATTAGTAAGATCCATCTATTATAAACTGACTAATTACAAACTGTTACGTCAGGATTATAAGAGAAAGTTTATGAGAAAAAATTATTAGTGTAGTATTATTCTAAGTTAAACGTTAAGATTTAACCACTAATATGTGGCCTGATGCTTGAAGGTAAAAAAGTAAAAGAAATTTTCATAAATTCTTCAGTTCAAGTCTCCATAGGCGCTAATAAAGGTAGTTATTGAAGAGCTTATCCGATCAAAAAATGCTACGGACATCGACGTTTTACACCGAATTTTTACACCCAACAACATGTCTACTGAATCAGACAAGCCACGTATCACGTTAATAAATATTCTATGAATGAACTGTCGAAAATCAAATATAGACGATCGTCCATTGTTATTGGACGATCGTTCATTTAAAATGGGCGACCATCCACCTAAAATGAATGTCCATTCATAGTTTAAACTTAAAAAATTTGTCCTAAATTGTTTATGAACATCTGTCCTCTTATAAGGAGATTGTTATTGTTATGGATGCCTGTCCTCTTGACGATCGTGCGCCCATCTTTTAATATTAACAAATTTTAAATTTTAAATTTTAAATTTATTTAATACATTAACTGTCTAAAAGTTGACAAAAATTATTTAATGCATTAATTTATTTAATTGGGCGTCCATCCAATTGCATTGAATATGGACAAAAATTTAATGAAACTTGTCCAATTACTTTAAACATCGAACAAAAGTTAGATGACAGAAATTCAATAAATATAAACAATGGACGTTTGTCCATTGAATGCAAATTTTTTTTTAAATCCCGTCCATAGTAAATGTAAAATTTTTTAAAATTATTTGGATGGGTGTCCATTTTATATAGACACTCATACATAATAAATAAATATCTATTCATATAAGATAGACGAATGTCTATTATTTTTCTTTTAAAAATTTTTGGATGGACGTCCATCTCGTCTATAGTAAATAAACATCCGTTCATATAATCTGTCGTCCATATAATATGAACGAAAATCTATTAAATATGGACGAGTGTCCATAAATATTAAACATGGACGAGTGTCCATAAATATTAAACAGTCGTTCATTCATAAAAGACTCTAGCGTAATCGTGTCTGACTGATTGTTATATCCTTTGATACAAAAATTTAGTGTAAAATTTTGGTATCGATAACATTGCTCTACTCATATCATCAATTTCAGTCTTAAGAGGTCTATTTTGAGACACTCAAAAGTTGGCTCGGAGATCTTTATGTATATAGGTTAACTGGGGATAGAGACAAGTGGTGTAAAACTGTAAAACGCATGTGGAGGGTGGTGGGATTTCACGCACTAAATGCGCGTGGTGAAGCGAAAGAGAGTAGATTTTAACTTAACCTTATGAAGCAGCCAAGAGTCAGGCAGACTCTTTCAAAACCTCAGCCAGCCGCCACACAACTGCTTCTTGTGACCAACAAACACCTCTACAACTCAACCCACCTTCATTTTCTTATACGTTAAGTCTTCATGTAATATAGAAAAACACAAAACAAAAGACAAAAGACAAAAGACCTCTCAGATAGAGCTTCAGCCTTCAGCTGCATTGATTTCTAAATAAATGGTGGGAACTGGGAAGGAACCAAGAGAATTGTGCTTGGCAATTGGCATATCCCAAAAATTAATAATAAGAAAACTGCATCATATTTCATGTTCATCCTCTTGGCTCAGAAATATAAAGAGATTGCTACTGATGAGATTCATTAAACTAGTGGAGCTCCTTAAAAGCATTTTATCTTTCTGCCCTTTTGTCTCCATTATCTTCTCTATTTCCAACCATATATAGTATTATCTTTTACCCTTTCTTGCCCTGCATTATTCGAGTCTATTCTCTACATTCTCAGGGCCACAACCACAAACATTGTTCCCTAATAGATACTGGGATTTCTGGGGACACCATTATTTTAATAACAAAAAAATGCCCCATTAACAAAATTATATTAGGCATCATTGATTTCCTAAAGCAAGAGCAACTCAAATAGCTCTTTTTTCCAATAGTTTATGGTGAACAAAGAAAGTTTTAATCTCACTTCATGTACATTCAATGTATGAATTTATCTGTCACTAACTACACTAGTGGCTTGCCACAAATAAGCAATTGGTAGTTTTCGACACTAGCTCTTTCCTACAATCTAGCAGTTCCGCTATTGTATTATTTTCTTGTAAGGTTTGATGGTTTTTTTTAAATTTTCAATAGTTGGTTAACAAACAACGGCGGACGCGGAGGCCCTCCTCAACAAAAATCCGGGTGCCACTGCTACCCACCTTATTTAGCAGGGTTCCAAGAATCATGATGTAGTTTAAGTAAATATTCTTGATTTGTTTCAGGTTCAAGATGAAGAAATATGATTTGAGCTTTCATTAGAGGAGATGGGTAAGGAATATTTTATAATATTACTCATTAAGATTGAAAATAATTAGGAGTTGGTGCATTTCTTATAAGGTTAATGTACTAATGTGGGTGCCTAACCTCTCTATCCTATTCTAGAAATTAGATATACTACAAATAGATGATGGGATTAATATGAGAAAAGATATAAACAAACATTAAATGAAATAAGTAGAAGGAAAAACCAGGGGCCAACAATAGGTTAAAAAGAATAATATTACACCAACAAACATTTCTCACAAACTTTCTCTCGTAACCCTGACGAGACAGTTCGTAATTGATCAGTTTACAATTAATTAGTAAGACTCATGTGAGACCCATTGTGAACTAACTAATTGTGAGCTATTACGTCAAGGTTGTAAGAGAAAGTTTGTGAGAAAAAATTGTTAATGTAGTATTATTCTAAGTTAAACGTTAAGATTTAACCACTAACAGGTGGCCTGATGCTTGAAGGTAAAAAAGTAAAAGAATGTTTCATAAACTCTTCCGTTCAAGTCTCCATAAGCGCTAATAAAGGTAGTCATTGAAAAGCTTACCCGATCGAAGAATACTACGGACATCGACGTTTTGCACCGAATTTTTACACCCAACGACATGTCCACTGAATCAGACAAGCCATATATCACGTTAATAAATATTTCACGAATGAATGATCGTCTATCAAATATGGACGATCGTCTATTGTTATTGGACGACTGTTTATTTGAAATGGACTGTCGTCCGTATTATATAGATGGCCGTCCACCTAGAATGGATGCATGTTCATAGTTTAAACTTAAAAAATTTATCCTAAATTATTTATAGACGTTCATCCTCTTATAAAGACGATTGTCTATTGTCAGGGGCGGACCCAGGCCATTTGAGAGTAGGCCTGGGCCTACCCTCAAATGAGTAAATAAAAATTTAAAAATTTTTACTTTTAATTTTATGGGATAACCAAATAATGAGTGTGAAGAATCCAAGAACAGAGGACATTTTTATTTTTCACTACCATATTTTATGCAACAAAAACCACCGCAACTTTAATGATGCAAAAATGCCTCTGCAATACACCATCTCTTCCTCTTAACTCAGAAGCTTTTGCAGAAACAATTTAAGTGCTCATTCCTAGCAATGATGTCCTTTGAAATTTAGTAAAAACATTCAACTTTGACAAGAATTTTCATAAGTTTTACAGATTATCATAAAGTTGTCCTAAAATTCATAAGAGTAAACTTTATAATATTAATCAAAACCCACTTCTACAAATGACCTTTACCAATTTTTTGAAATAAATAAATAAAAAAAAGGCAAAAACTTATATAGATAATTGAAAGAATGAATCATTCTTTCAAAACCAATAATTGTCAATTTTGTGCAACTATACAAGACATAAACTTTGAACACAAACTCACGCTCTCTCTTCTCTTCAACTTCAACCTCTAAATTCTAAGGTATTCGCTTTTTTCAATTGTTTCTTGCATGTTTGGTTACCAAGAAAATGAGGTTGATTTTTCCACTTTTTTCTTTTAATGTGTTATTTTATTTTATTTTTGAACTCTGAATTCTTAGTTATTTTTCGTTTAACTGTGTTTCCTTGATGAGAAAATGAGGCAAAGTTTTGTTCATTTTTTTTTTTTTACTGTCTTTATCTTTCGTAATTTTCTCTAAATTCTATAGTTTTTATTTTATTTTATTAAGCTATTTTTAGTATGTTAGGTTGATGAGAAAATGATGCTAAGTTTTGTTCATTTTTTTGACAGTTTTTTTGTTTTGTATTTTGCTCTGAATACTATGGTTTGTTTATTTTAATTTATTAAGGTGTTTTTAGTCGGTTAGATTGATGAGAAAATAAGACAAATTTTTATGGTTTTTTTACCTCCTTTTCGTTTAGTAATATTGCTCTAAATTCTAATTTTTTTTATTTAAGTATATTTTTTGTAATATGTTTGGCTGATGAGTAAATGAGACAAAGTTTTGCTAAATTTTTAATCTCGATGGTTGAGTTTTGATTTTAATAGTTGGATTTGGAGTTATAAGCTTAAAGTTTGACTACTTCTTTGGTGATTTTAATTTATTTTTTTATAAACATTTATGTATTTTACTTGTGTTAGAGTTGTGATTGGACTTTAAATTTGTATGAAATATTTTTGGTAGATTGTGATTGATTTGAACTCTTTTGATTATATTGGATTGTTAGATTCTTGTGATTTTTTTGCTTTCTTCGCATTTAAGAGATTTTTCCACATCAAAATTTTCTTGTGTTTCCTTGTGAGTTGGATGTGATTTTACATATTTGCTTTCAAGATTTTGCTTCTCGTAGATTTATTTAAGTAGGAAAGTAATATGTTATTGTATCATTTTCTTTCAGCTTCTTGATATTGTATTATTTTCTTTGCTTAAGGTTTGATGGTTTTTTTTAAATTTTCAATAGTTGGTTAACAAACAACGGCGGAGCCGCGGAGGCCCCTCCTCAACAAAAATCCTGGGTCCGCCACTGGTTATGGAAGTCCTTCCTCTTATGAGGACGTGCATCCATCTTTTAATATTAACAAATTTTAAAATTTAAATTTATTTAATGCATTAATGGTCAAAAAGTTGACAAAAGTTATTTAATGCATTGATTTATTTAATTGGGCGTCCATCCAATTGCTTTGGATATGGACAAAAATTTAATGATACTTGTCCAATTACTTTAAACATTGACAAAAATTCAATGAATATAAACAATGGACGCCTGTCCATTGAATGCAATTTTTTTTTAAATCCCGCCCATAGTAAATGTAAAATTTTTTAAAATTGTTTGGATGAGTATCCATCTTATAAAGACGTTCGTCCATAATAAATAAACACTCTTCCATATAAGATAGATGGACGTCTATTATTTTTCTTTTAAAATTTTTTTGATGGGCGTCTATCTCGTCTATAGTAAATAGACATCCGTTCATATAATCTGTCGTCCATATAATATGAACAGGTGTTTATAAATACTGGATAATCATTCATTTATGAAAAACTCTAATATGGTTACGTCTAACTAATTATCATGTCCTTCGATACAAAAATTTGATATAAAATTTTAGTGTCTGTAACATTACTCTACTCGATCATCAATTTTAGGGTCCTAGAGATCTATTTGAGACACTCAAAAGTTCGCTCGGAGATCTTTATATATATATATATATATATATGGGTTAACTGGGGATAGAGACAAGTGGCGTAAAACTGTAAAACGCATGTGGAGGGTGGTGGGATTTCACGCACTAAATGCGCGTGGTGAAGCGAAAGAGAGGAGATTTTAACTTAACCTTATGAAGCAGCCAAGAGTCAGGCAGACTCTTTCAAAACCTCAGCCAGCCGCCACACAACTTCTTCTTTTGACCAACGAAATATAGAAAAACGAAAGACCTTTCAGATAGACCTTCAGCTGCATTGATTTCTAAATAAATGGTGGGAACTGGGAAGGAACCAAGAGAATTGTGCTTGGCAATTGGCATATCCCAAAAATTAATAATAAGAAAACTTCATCATATTTCATGTTCATCCCCTTGGCTCAGAAATATAAAGAGACTGCTACTGATGAGATTCATTAAACTAGTGGAGCTCCTTAAAAGCATTTTATCTTTCTGCCCTTTTGTCACCATTATCTTCTCTATTTCCAACCATATATAGTATTATCTTTTACCCTTTCTTGCCCTGCATTATTCGAGTCTATTCTGTCCATTCTCAGGGCCACAACCACAAACATTGTTCCCTAATAGATACTGGGATTTCTGGGGACACCATTATTTTAATAACAAAAAAATGCCCCATTAACAAAATTATATTAGGCATCATTGATTTCCTAAAGCAAGAGCAACTCAAATAGCTCTTTTTTCCAATAGTTTATGGTGAACAAAGAAAGTTTTAATCTCACTTCATGTACATTCAATGTATGAATTCATCTGTCACTAACTACACTAGTGGCTTGCCACAAATAAGCAATTGGTAGTTTTCGACACTAGCTCTTTCCTACAATCTAGCAGTTCCATACTCTTGTGAAAAGCATGTTAGGATACATACACAGAAGCAATACACCCAGATGAATTTGCCTTGTTCGCTTCTGCAAATATTTCAGCAATGTCGAAATGTTTATGATCTGCCGAGCTTGAGAGTATAAACTTCAATCTAGACAAATATGACTTCAAACTTTGCACAAGGGTTCCTTTCTATGTGACTCCTTAGGTCAGCATCTCCTTGGAATTTGAAGGTGTACAAAGCTTGTCTCTGCGTCAAGCCAACAGGGTATATTCTGTAAATTTTTAGTTTATTTCCTCCTCGTATACTTTCAGGTCTTTCCTGCTTCCAAACTGGCATGTGTTTTAGAGACTTGAACTTCATCAACACTGCTGATTCCAAGCCTTTTAGAGTCAAACTCCCAGACCTGCCCACCAAAAAGGAATCAAAGATTTTTTTTAAACGGGGAATATGAGATCAGTGAATGGTTGACTGCCACAGTCAAGTAATACAATAATAAACAGCGGATTTCTAATGCCTAATAAGGATGTATCCGAGATGGGGAAGAAAAAGCTTGATCATATGAAGGCCACACATCCTCCTCTACCAGGATTAATTATGTGAGGTAGATTTCAGTTATAGATTTCTATTGCTTATCTATCTCTAAGACAAAAGGCAAGTCCCCTGGAAAATTTAACCTGGCAAATAAAGGTTTAATATTGAAAACAAAACAACAAAATGGTTACCTCAAGAAAATGGATTCCATATAAAACCTCCCTCTTTCTCTAACATACAAATGATGCACAGTTTCTGAGCCTCTGTTGCACTTGCAAGGGCGTTTCTTGAAATCAGGGCTTTTTTCTTCTTGCTCTCGAATCATTGTTGCCAGGTGAATGCAAAGACGACATGATGAGTGTACCGCAGCCATATCCACAAGTGCCTTAAAGGAATCAGAAGGGCCCTCATACTTCCAACTGATCAGTAGAAATATTCATTGTTTTTAAGCATCTATTAGTTGGCGTCTCATTTTTAACAAAAGCCCTCATGAAGGGACCAGAGGAGAATAAGAGCAAGCAACAACTCAACAAAAGATACCTTTTCTTCAGTATATAAAAAATAAAAAAAGAACAGGAGTGTTTCCTATAATCTCATAAAAACACAGAACAGTTAGATCACCCTCTTTCACTTAATAAATTTGAACCTCACCTTATTGACTGATTGAATGCATCAGGGTTTTCTGCAATGTATTTCATGGTCTTTGCAACAATCTTGGCATCTTCAAGCTCCCGAATATGTAGAATTGCATTAGGAGAAGGAGAAAATTCTTGAATATTTGGTGCACCAATGACCACAGGGATTGTGCCTACAAAACATGATAACATATTTTATTAATAAAAGACATGATGAAATTCTGAAGCTCTAATGTCAAGAGATAAAGTTCATCTAGATATTTCATAAACCATCGGAAACTCAAACATTACAATATACAATTCACTCACAAACAAGTTATTATAACATTTAAGAGTAACTTTGAAATTAAAAATGGAAATATATGCAAAAAGAATTTTGGCAAGACCAACTTCAGAAATTTATCAATCCCCATGTTTTAAGGTGTTATAGGGGCCACATCGAACACACCATTCTTCAAATATGCAATGAGAATGAGAGTAAGGAGTAGATTTCATACCAGCAACAAGAGACTGGAAGAATTTTTCAGTGACATAATCCTCCTCATTGGAATTCTCAAAAGCCAAGCTAAATTTATAGCGCTTCAGAGTTTCCACTTTGTCCACTGCAGATATTATTCAAATAATTACTTTAACATGACATATATCCAGAAGCATATATATGATAAATAATATATGGGTCACCTAGTGAATTAACAACCAACATATAAGACATTGACCCATACTTCAGCAAATTTTGGAAATACATAAAAGAACACAATTCCTAAAGTTGCATCTGAAGTGGTAGGTAAATCTAGTGCCTTCAATGGCATTAACTTTCATCATCAAAGTAGAATTAAGGAAAATTAAAATAATTTTCTGTTGTAAGGCTGCCCAACATATTGCGAAAGACAGGTATTGCCATCATTATAATGTGAATGAGCCAACAGTTTCTTTTAAGGGTAAATTTTAGTCATTTCCTCTAACATTTGGCCTAATTATACATTTGACTTTTCTGATTTGGAAAATAATCAGAGACTTCCCCAACGGGAGAAATTTTTGATAAATTTATGAAACTTCAGATAAGCTCTTTCAAATAAAGATAAATTTCAGAGTAGCTTTAATCCAATAATCATTTTTAAGCTATAATGAAACAGCAGTGTCAATATAAACACTTTAGTAACTTATAGTTTTGAAAGCATAACTCTGGCAAGTTGTAAATAAGGTTCTTCCAGAACTCCACAGCCCTAACTAAGCAAGATATGAGTGAGAGTCTGTGTGTGTATTTAGGAAAATGAACTTCAAAATTTATTGATTTCAAAAAGATACTTAAATCTGAAGATAAAGTCAACCTGATAAAAAATACTAGCTTTCTCCCTTAATCATGACAAGAACAATGCAGTAAGCTGATAAATGCAATCACTATAAAACACCTGCTAAGCTAAGAACCACACTTAAACTTTAATCACTAGAAGGCAACGATATAAAGCAAAAAAGACCAAGAAGATGCAATATACGCTAAAAATCCTAAATAGGAATCATATCGTGATAGATACTATCAGAAATTTTTAATGATTTAAACAAAGGAACAAGACACTGATTCATATACAATTATTATAAAACTATAAATATCATTAAACATGCAATTTTCTGCACCTCTTCCATCGTGGTTACGATGGCAACCACCATAAGAATCTATCTTGATATTTGCCTTTTCAAGTGCTTCAAGAGCTTGCAAACGAAAGTTGCGAGCACCGCAATTGGAAATGAAAGCAGCTGCGAGGGCACTCTCATTTTTTGGCTGGACTGGAGCCATAATATCATACTCAGCCCAGGAAAAATATCCAACAGGAACATCTGATGACAGACTAGTCGTCATTACGATCTTATATCCCCTACTATTACACAAGTGATAAAATTAGAAAATTAGTTCTAATAAACTTTTATAAGCATACATTTTTTTTTTTTTTTTTTTAGAATTTCATTCCTTAAACCGATAAAGTCAACTAGATGGACCATACGTAATTCATATTCACATTTAAGTCAAAATTTCCCAATCGATTTAAATATGTGTGTATTGATCAGACTGCCCATGTCGAGATAGAAATTAGATCCCCATGTAAATACCCTACTTTTTCTCTACACCTTTCTTCCTTCAAATTATTTCACTCTAAATCTCATTACCATAGATTTACAAATTAGAAGACAATTCTAATCTAAACTACACTGACTCCACACGAAAGCCTAAAACAAATGCTTGAAGGAACACCACCAACCCACCTCCTCTCTCCCTCCAAAAAAAAAAAAAAAAATTAAAAGAATTAAAACCTCAACAAAATTAATTAAATTAGAAAAGAAAATTACTTCAAAATACCCTTTTTAAAAAAGAAAAGGAAAAGTGCCTTTTCTTTTCATTTACAACAAAGTCATCTTAGACAGTGCTTACCCACCGTCGTGCTTGAGCGAGATTATTCTCTGAATAGTACTGAGCTGATTCCATTGAACGTAGCACACTAGCTGTTCCAGTTCCTTGAGGCATGCCAAATGCAGCATCAGGATTCTTACCATGACTATATCCAAACTTGCACCCCACACCACAAGTTTCCCACTCCTAGATAGCATGCAAAAAGGAAGCTCAGATACATAGAGAGATAGAACTAAAACATAACATTAAGTAATTGTATCGTTTGAACTCTTTGTCAAACCATCAAAGAAGATCGACTCACAAGTCACAAAAACCATCAGCAACAGAAAGAATATTTCTCAAATCACAAGATCAATTGGCACCAAATCACTTATATCATTTAAAATGTGTGGCAAATGGTCAAATAATTTCTGCTTTACAAGATACTTCCTGCGGTATTAATTAACATTTGGAAACAGTGAATGAAAATACTGTAAGCATTAAGGTTTAAACTGATTCAAATGGTCAGCCTGTAATGTGAATCCAAGATTAGGTCAGCCTGTAATTTAAAAATGGAGTACATATTGTAAACTAACAACAATAGAGACCAAAAATACCACACTGGTTTCAAAATCGCAATGTCTATATCTACACAGTGAATGTAGTTTTCTAACTTTACAGTCACTTTCCCACTTCGGTCTAAACAAAGCATATAAAACAAAAATGTCGGAGAACTAATCTGAACACCAAGTTTTAAATTACACAATCAAAAAAAAGATCGTCAAAAAACTATTCGGGCGGATGATTCATAAATTTGCAAGCTGAAAACTTCTTTCTCCATCAAGACAAGGCTACAACTTCTATGAAAGCATCAAATTTCAAATCCCTCATTCGATAACATAGATAAATAGCTGAAAGTGCACTGAATACGACACAATCGATTATCATGCTGCTTAAAGTTCACACTCTACCAGCAGGTTTCACCATACCCTATAATCAGTAACGTTAAACATAAGTAGCAATAATCCCAAGTCACGCTACAATACAAGAATAGAATTTCCTAAAATCTCAAATCCATTTTAAATAAAACGGAAGAGAGAACAAAATTGCATAACATGTTGACAATAAAAATAGTTAGAAATTGTCATAAAAACAAAAAACCTTTATCATATACATTAAAACCCAAAATAGATATAGAACCAATTAACATAAGATTTTAACAAACAAACAAACCTTATCAGCGCCAGAAACCAGGACAGGATCTTTCTCAAAATCCCTTGAATAATTTACAGCATCCTGTTTCTCCAACCACTCTTCACAAGTCTCATCCGCCTCCACAAGCGGCTCATGAGGCTTTTCAATCACCAAGTCACCGTCACCAATCATCTCGAATTCAGTTGCAGCGGGAGATGATTTGTGAAAAAGATCAGCCAAAGAATCGAACATAGCTGCGTTTTTGGCCATGTCAAGACGACCCAAGAAGGCGATCTCTGCTATAACCACAAGAGCCACGAAAAAAGGCATCCAGTTTGACCATTTCCTCTTCGGTACTGAAGAAGAAGAAGAAGAAGACGACCCATTTGCAAGAGGGGGCAATTCTTCTCCTTCTTCTGCATTATGGGCAGCTCTTGATCCTCTAAAATTTGATAAAACACCCATCAAGCTTTGATCTTTGGATTGTTTTTTTTGTGGAAAAAAAAGTAATGAGAAAAAATGTTATATTTGAAAAAGGGTTTTGCGTGTCAAGCGAAGACTTTTGTGTTTTCTCTATTGCAAAAGTCCACGCTCGCCCTTTGATCTGTGGCGTTCTGTTTATATACTGCTTTTCAGGTGGTGGTGATCAAAATTAAAATGGTTTTCATGTAATAAATTTAAAAAAAAAAAAAATCAAACAGTTCGATGGAGACTTTTATGTCTGATTAGTAAATACGGATACGATAAAAGAATAGTAAGAAAATTTTACGAGTATGATACAGCAAATAGTAAAAAATATGTTTGTAAAAATTCGGCTATAAAATTCAGATACGGAAAAAATACGATACGGGTTTAATATAACACATTATCAATAATACGTTTTGAAAAATACGACAATATCAATCATAGTTTTAGCACTTTTCATGGGCCACTTGGTTAAAATTTATATAACGTTTCAAATATACGGGTACGGTAAAAAAAGGATACGGGAATTTTACAGATATGATACGGAAAATGATGAAAAATATGTTTATAAAAATTCAAAAAATATTCAAAAAAATTCGGATGCGGGAATAATTCGCGAATAATATGACTGGACTTATAAAATACAGTTGTTCGCGAATAATACGTGAATTATATGGGTGGGCATATAATTCGCGAATTTATTAACTAGGCTTTTACGTATATTACTTAAAGAATGTTTTAAGTTTGAATTCTTCCTGAGTTGTTAATATGGGTGGCTATTAGAGTTCTTATCCGGTCGATAGTTTCAGGATTTTGAGAGATTAATTGAGATACGCGTAAACTGATCCAACATTCCGTCATAAATTATAAACAGTTAGGTATGTACTTAAATGGATATTGTGATATGTTGATGTTTAAATCTGATGTCAACTTTAATTGTAATTGATTGGAATATCAATTTTACCTAATTTGTAAAGTTTTTATGTGAATGATCATATTATAGATAAGATATAAATTTTAGGGGATTAAAATGTCAGTTTCCAATTAGATTCGTTTGGATTAGTTTATTTGTATATATTACATTTTTTTTTTTTTTTTTTTTTTGACATTAACAAATATATAACTTTTACATTAAGATTATATGAGTAGTATATAATATAAGAATTTAAATTTATTATTTTTTGTAAGGGGCTTATCTTGAGGTTTATTCGAATGATATGATTTTTCCTAATATTTCAGACATAACATAAATTTCTCCACCTCTAATGAAATGTCAATGTGTCATTAGAATTTATACTATAATAAGTTAATAAATATTTATTTAATTACTTTTCTATCCTTTTATTATAGAGCGAACGACTTTTTTCCACTCAAATAATTGTTTAATGACACTTTTTCACCCACAGAACTTTTAAAATATCACTTTATTATCCAAATTTATATTTCAACGGTGAGCAAAGAACAAACTCAGTCCAGGCTATTGAGGTTTTTGAAGAGGGGGAGGTCGATGAGTTTTTTGGTAGTAGAACGTTGGATTTTGATAGTTGGGATTTATCAGAATTTGACTTGAAAGGGGCAGTTACACAAACCCTAATTACTCGATTATCGACGATTGGCAAGGTCAACAGAAATAAGGTTTGAGGGATTTTGGTGAGTGATGATTGGAGAAGAGAATAGTGGTGGTGTGAGATCGTAACGATGCCGAAATAAAAAATGGAATATAAATTTATGTAGTAAACTAGTATTTTAAAAGTTTGTGAATAAAAAAGTGTCGGTTAAGTCATTATTCGGGTGAGAAAAAGTTGTTCAATCTCTATTTTAACACCAAAAACTTAAATCCCGAAAAGATTTTACACTTTTTCATGAGAGAAAAAGTCATTATTGTTGGAAAATCCCTACTCAAAGAAACACAGCTTTATGTATTAAACAATTAAAAAGATGGAAATAAATTATTAGTGTCTAAATCAAAGTGCACAGAAAAAGGGATTAAAAGGAGTTTGGGATGGAGTAGGTGAGCAGTTAGTGTTGCAGATTTGTTAATTTTGATGTGTGAATTCATTAGAAAATGGAGTCCCACCACCATCCCCAGCCCAACCGATTTAAATATGGAATTCCCAACACAATTATCGAAACCCCTTTTCGATTTAATCAGTATGATATAATATAATAGAATAAATATTAGGATTCGTAGTAGTATTACAAATACGAAGTATGCACAAAATCTTTATGGGGGAAAAAAGAATTCCGCAGACTCAGTACAAGAAAAGATAGTTGACTTTATATCAACATGTAATTTGATCTTTTAATCTATTGGAAAAAGAAAAATACTACGAACACCGACGTTTTATATCAAATTTTTACACCGAACGACATATTCGTTGAATATCAAATTTTTACACCGAATGACATATTCGTTGAATTAGACAAGTCACGTACCACGTTAACAAATATTCTACGAATAAACAGTCGTCCATCAAATATGAACGATCGTCTATTATTATTGAACGATCATTCATTTAAAATGGATTACCGTCTATATTATATGGATGATCGTTTACCTAGAATTAACTTCTGTTTATAATTTAAACTTAAAAAATTTATCTTAAATTATTTATAGATGCTCATCCTCTTATGAGAATGATTATCCATAGTTATGAGCGCCCGTCTTCTTTTTTAATATTAACAAATTTTAAAATTTAAATTTATTTAATGCATTAATGGTCCAAAAGTTGACAAAAGTTATTTAATGCGTTAATTTATTTAATTGGGCGTCCATCCCATTGCTTTAAATATGGACAAAAATTTAATGAAACTTGACAAAAGTTAAATGACAAATATTTAAACAATAAGGACCCCTGTCCATTCAATGTAAATTTTTATAAAATTGTTTGGACGGCCCATAGTAAATGTAAAATTTTTTAAAATTGTTTTGACGGGCATCCCGTCCATAGTAAATAGGCATATGTCCATAAGATGGACCAACGTCTATTATTTTTTTTTAAAATTTTTTAAATGAGCGTCCATCTTAAATGAACACCCGTCCATATAAAATGAATAAAAATCTATTAAATATAGACAAACATCCATAAATATTAGACGACCATTCATTCACAAAAGACTCCAACATGATCACGTCTAACTGGTTGTCATGTCCTTCGATACAAAAATTCGGTATAAAATTTCGATATTCATAGCATTACTCATTAGAAAAAAGTTTAGCGGCCAATCCACTTTCCGATTGCGTTTGCCTTTCAATAAAAACAGATGAGCGCAAATAACCTACATCACGAAGAGAAATATAAACCAACCCCTAGGTAGTCGAATGATTCAATAAGAACTCTTAGACGTATTACTCAAGAGGTCTTGAGTTTAAATTTCTCTTCGATTATTAGCAAGAGTGACCACTGGAACTCTTACCCAATCAATAATTCTAAGCAATGTTTTAATAACCAACCCAAGGTAAAACTCTCGGGTTGATCAGTTTAACCGGCTTGACCCACTGGTCAAACCAGGTGTCAAAAAGTTTAAAATAAATACACCCCTGAAAAATTTTAAGTCCGTACAAGTTTGAAATTTAACAAACACGAAGAATTTTAAGTCCCTACAAGTTTAAAATTTAGCAAACACACCCCAAATACAAATCAACGGTCGACTGGTTGGTGACAACGGCCAAGACTGGTTGAAATACGCGTAAACTAGTCTGAACAACCTCAGTTGTATATGCAATAAAAAAGCTAATGAATAAGATATTAACAAAAATATTACAAAACTCCATCAATTTCAACTACATCAATGCCTGCCTTCTAAAATCATCATAAATTAACAAATCAACAGCGTGAGTTAAAAATTCTGATAAGAGGACACTGATGAATGACACAAAAAGATGTAGAAAACAACATGGCTGATACCTGGTTAACGATATAGCTGAGAAATGGCGGTATCTCATCTCCCTACATCTATTATACATTGCATAATTTCTATATACAATGCCATTCTATTTACAAAATACAGATACAAGACATGAATATAAAGTAGTATACTTATCTAAAACACCTAACTTAATGCTACCCACTTAGTCATCCATCAATTGCAACTACTGCAAATCTTATCTAAACATACAAGTTCTTATACAGATGCTTCTGACCTATTATCTGTCAAGATCTTATGTAGCAAAATCATCAATTAGTTATCAGCAAGAACCGTCAACAAAATATAACCACCAATATTTTTCTCGTGCTTCTTCAGCTAGGTACCTGGAGATTCTGGGTGCATTGGAGGGTTAAGTTTAAATTTCAAACTTCAGGCCAAAAAGTCACAACTCAGCTTCCTCTTAAAAAGTACTGCGTACCAGATCTTGGCAGAACCTGAATCATCAGGTATAAAGAAGAGTGAAACTCCAGAAAAATTCAAACTATCCAAGATTAAGTGATTTTAAATCTGAGGGAAATTTAGAAAACAAATTGATAAATACAGTAATTATTCTAAAAATCACCTGATCAGATTTCGGATCATCAAAGGCAGTAGTCTGCGATCTTCTTGCCATGTTCCGCGGCTTGTCTTCTGTACTTGGCAAATGCAAAACAGACATATGCAACAGTCACAAATTCTAGACTCCAGCAAATGCAATTAAATGGTTCAAGATGCATAACATTAAAACTCTGAATTAGAAAGTTCCATTTTAACTTGGTTCACACTAGGTTTCTAGTGATGGGGTTCCTTAGGAGTTATGCCCCTTAAAATGGTTTCTCTAAAGTAAGGCCCCTTAAAATGACATTGAAAAGGAAACCCATATATTTCCGGTTGAAAATCACTTCAATGAAGTTGCTAATGTTGCTAGTGAAATTTTCTCCTTTTCTTAAAATCACGCTTTATATGTTTTTTTGACGTATAACAGTTATCAGCTTTAATCCCACCCAAGGCATCGAATTTCAAAATAGCAACACTAAAAAGCTGACATATTTTAAAATTATGTCATGGGCCTTTCACAATTGACAACATGGTTGAGTCAAAGAAGTGGTCGGTGCTGTTCTAAATCAAAACTTGGCGAACTAC